CTGGCAGATGCTATCAATGAGTTTGAGGGAGGAATGATGCTTGTCAGCCATGACTTCAGACTCATCCAACAGGTAAGGACACTTGTGAGTTTTGCCGGAGCACCTTTCTAACATTTTAGTCATTAAAACAAGGTGTTTTCAACTGACTGGCTCTTATTCATCCCAAAAAGATGGGACGAGTGAAAAAAAAAAAAAAAAAAATTGCAATTCCCTTACTGTGTTCATGTTAAACAATTGCTGAGCTAGCCCAGGAAAACATTAGGTACTTTAAATAAAATAAAAACCACCACAAACGTGAAGTGCTGATCTATCCACCATAGCTTTGGCTGCAAGTTCAGGTATGATTTTATTTTTCACTGTTATAGATCCAAGTAGTTCAGGTCAGGAACTACTTTCGTTGCAGTTACCAATTTAGCAAGAAAGGCTTTTCATCTTGGTCCATGAACAAAACCGGAAATACAGAGGGGGCCTAGGACTATGTGATAAACACCAGGGAAGATGTTTCCCTGTAGATACTTTTCTTTGGTAGTCTAAATGTGAAAGTTACCAAACCTTTCTTGCCAGACTTCAGAGAATAATTTTTAGTTACCTTTATAATTTTGGTAAGATTGTAAAAATTTGTACTGCAAGCCTCTCTCCTCCTCCTCCTCGTTGTGTGTTTGCTCTCAGGTTGCACAGGAAATCTGGGTCTGTGAGAAGCAGACAATCACCAAGTGGCAAGGGGACATCCTTGCCTACAAGGAGCATCTCAAGTCGAAGCTGGTGGATGAGGACCCGCAGCTCACCAAACGGACCCACAACGTGTGAGCTGAGGAGCCCCCCCAGGCCGTGCTCTCCGTGGGGCTGGCGGTGGCCACGCCACTCACCTGCCCGCCGGTGCCAGCGGGAGCAGAGCTGCTGCTCCTCCGCCTGTGTTCTAGGATTGCTGCAATACTGCTTCCCCTCGACTTGCCTCGCACCTCTATGTTTGGACAGAGCTGTTCTCTTCTGATCTGGCTACGTATGGGCAACTGTGTCCTTATTTAGACAATGTCCCATCTGAGCCAAGCCTTGGAATCTGTTGGCTTGGGGTCATGGCAGTGGCCATCGGGGTGTCCGAGCTGCAGTGATACACAAGTGGAGACCCCAGCCCAGCTTCTCCTGCCTTTTCCTTCCCAATTTCTGCTTCAGTTTAGATACTTCACTTCAAACTCCTCTGGCCTTGGTTTGTTTTTAACTATTATTTAACAGTGTAATTAACAGATCTGCCTGAGAATCCATCAGTCAATAAAGAGAAAAAAACAATCTTGTCTTGTTTTGTGAGCCGTGTGGTAGTTGGGTTGTGCTGGGGTGAGTCAGCAGGTCCTGAGCTTTGAGATCAGCCCTTCCTGCTAAGTGCTCAGTTCCTCAGTACAACCAAAGCTGTGGCCAGAACTTGAGAGATGTGAAGTGGTGAGCACTGAGCTGTGGAGGCACCGAGCAGGGTCCTCGTACCTGGGGCACCTCTGCTCAGCCAGACTGAGCACTGCATCTCCAGCGATTCACAGAACAGGCCATGGGTGCCTCTGTTGCGGAAAGTGGCGGACACAACTTGAAAGTGTTCTGAAGATCATTGTTAGAGACAGAACATAGATCTGTGGAATACCAGCGTGTGTTCTTACAAGCACACGGGCTCAGTTGTGGCGTTTTGCTTCACCTTGAATTCTCTTAATAAGATTGAATAATATAGGAATTTTGGACTCTGAATTAGTTTCTTGTTCCTTGCAGGTTTAAGTAAAGACTAATCAACTGAAGTCTAGTTGTTATTTTTGTTCTCAATAACAGATTTTTGGAAAAGTTGGTGTTCAGATCTCACCCTGAGCCACAGAAGCTTGAATAAAATACGTTTTTAATTTAGTACTAGAATAAAGGGCACTAAAGAGAAAGGTAGGTAGCAAATTGAACCTAATAGCTTTTTTTGATCATGAGTCATTTTAATTATTTCTGGCACATGAGAGTGACAGCACTCATCACAGAAGAGGCTCATGTAGCCCAGCAGCCCATGTGGCAGCACAAGTGCCTGGGTGAATGGAAGGTAAGGACAAACAAAGGAGTTGTGCTCTCATGCACAACTTCTTTCCCAAAGGGCTCATCAAAGTCGTGGCTGCTGCTGTGGAAGCACTGAGTATCATCCATAGGACAAATGTCATAATGTGAGCTGCTTTCAGTAGATCAAATAGGACCCTTCAGGTTTTTCACCAGTTCTGGCAACGACCTGAGAGGAGAAAAATAATATGTTTTCTAGGAAAATAATGCCAGTTAGTAGAAGTGCTTCCAAGTTAGTTCAGCAGAAAGGTCTAGATGGCAGTAAATGTCACCTGGATGATTATCTCACAGTGGAGGACATGGAAGTTACCAGAGCGAGGGTGTGAAAACTTGCAGGGAAGTGATTTCTGAAAAAACTGATGGGTCGCAAGTTAAACAATTAGAGTTTAATGCAGGTCTGTTTGTTCTGCTCTCTAAGTTGTAGGAAGTGTTGGTGAGTTGGAAGTGGTTGTGAAGTGGCTCTGAGAATGGTGAGGTCACAGTCCTTACTGAAGCTAGAGCTATTTGTCCTACACTTATTTTCCTTACCAAAGATTTGACAACAATTCATTTCACTAAATTTCAGATTTGCGGTAATAAATGGAGGATACAATCTTACACTGAGTTCTTTGGGATGGGTAAATCCCAAGAATGGCCGGGGGATGCTAGGATGACAGCCAGCATGAAGGGCAGTAGTTGCAGCACTGTCGTAGCTCATGGAGCCAAGAAGAGCACTGTTACCTATCTGCTGCTGCAAAGAGAGAGGAACTTCCCAGATGCAGGTATGTCTCAGATCTATAAACAAGGGCCACAGGTACATGTTTGAAGCAAAAGCAGCTGTAGCTGCACTAAGGGTCACAGTAGGCCAGGGCTTGTAATATGGAATCCATAAATGTGCTTTAACAGCCTTGATTTAACCTATGTTTCATGGTGACAGTTTGTTGGGCTGTGCTGAAGCAGCTGTGGCAGACATGTCCTGGAGCACTAATCTCGGAGACGGCAACACACTGAGGCAGTGCCACTTCAAGCTGTTTCAGCTGAGAATTTTCTGGTTTTGCAGAAAAGCAAAACTATCAATAAATTACAAGAATTGCTCCTTAGGTGCTAGGATGGTCATTTCTGTAAAAGAAGTGACCCAGCGCCTGCACAGTCACACTTGCCTGTTATCCAAAAGAAAGGTTGGCTCTCACAGCCAGAGGTGGCAGGTGCAGGCTTGTGGGATTCCCTTGTGTGTGTGCTGCAGTAGGTCCATACACCAAAAAACCAGCAGCAGTTTGAGGCAGGCCTAGCACAGCAGCGTGTGCAGCCTCTAGCACATGCAGTCTAGGGAAGCAGATGGTAATTCTCCAGACCTGAGGGTTCAGAGCTGACTGTAGTGCTCAGTGGAGGAGCCTCCATCCTCGGTGTGTAAAGGCTTCCTGTGCCTAACGCTGAGTGACCAGCTGCTGTTCCTCCACCAACGGGCTCCCTTCCAACTAAATGGGTTTTTTTCAGAAAAGGCAGCTGGGTGTCCATCACTGTGTAATGTTGTGGATCACAAACAGGGTGGCAGCTGAGGAGGGATACAACAGCCCTCAGCTTCTTCAGCACGAGAATCCCTCCCTGTGTGCTGAGAGCAAGGAAACACAGCTCCCATGGCGAGGAGGGTGGCAGAATGTCCCTCTGAGGGGGGAGCCTGGACTGTTCCTTGACAACACAGGGCCCCTTACGAAGCACAAGTGGCGATGTCCCCTGCTCCTCACTGCTAGTATCAGTCACTCCTGTTTAAGAGGATCCCACTGCCACATATCTTCACAAGCCCACTCTCCTTCACAAATGCACTGACATGACCGTTCCAGCCTGTACTGCCTGATCACTAGTGTTTCGGTTTCTGGGAGCAAGAACCCCGCTGTGGCACTGACTGCCCTTGTCACTGTGACAGTTACTGCACTAGGGGAAGGGGGTCAGGTGCTTCCCCATGGAGATAGGCTGAGAACAAAACAATTCAATGAAACACCGAGGGCTGCACAAGCTGTAGCAGAATCACTGCCTGATGCGTAGGGCTCCTGAGCTCACTCTCTGGAAGATGTGATTTGCTCAGGATGTGCCAGTATGATGTGTGTACCTGAGCAGGAGATTCCACATGTCAGCACAGACACCCCCACCAAAGGTGTGTTCCCCCACTATAGAAGCATACTGGCATCACTCTTTTATGAAATGGCTGTAGTGGTGTCTGCTGAAAGGCCTCCTTTTCTCTCCAAAGTACAGAAAACTCTGTTTTGTCCATGTCTCTGCTGTGCTGCTGCACATTTTTCCCAGCTAAACCTAATTCCTGTGTCATGATTACCCTCAGTGTAATGACTGGTTTCCAAGACAGGTCAAAGCCACACTTGGGGTGTCAGCTTTCCACTGCCCCACTCCTGACATTCCAGGCCCTGTTGTGTGCAGCAGGGGGATCCCAAGAGCAGGCTAGGTACCATGGAAATTTGGCTGGTAGTATGTTTACAGTGCCATCGTTTCATCTCTAGACCAATGCTTCCTGCAATTACTGGGTTTCCCCTGATGGCATTACCTGTTCCATAGAACAGATATGATTCCATTTGATTCTGGAATACCCTGAGTACTCCAGTTCATAGACTTGTACCAAAGCAAGATCCGTCCTTTCACCAAACTCCTTTTGGACCTGGGAATGGCTCTTGTCTGGTAATTATGTCCCCTGTAAATCAGATGCTTCGGCTCTTGTCCCTCTTTGCCCTGGTTACTCTCAAACTTGTCAGGTCTGAAAGTCTAATTGGATCTGTCGCTTCCAAGCTCCTCTCAGGCCAGCTGCTTTTCATTTAGTGCAAAGTGGAATCATCAGCCACACGTGTGTACTTGTCCTGCTTCTTGGGGGCTGCAGCTGAGGCAGGTTAGGTCTTGCTGCCTGTGCTATATAACCAGCCTCACAGCACTTGTTGGCTGTTCTTTTGGAGGTTAAGATGAGCTCAGAACCTGTGAAGAAGCATGGTCATGCTGTTGCTTCTGGGGAAAAAAAGCTCTAAGAGGAAGACAAAGAGAAAGGAAGCATTTTCAGTCTATGTGTACAAAGTACTGAAGCAGGTGAGTAAATGTTTCTTTTCTGCTAGAAATTGTTTTGTGCATAAAGTAACTTCTGCCTGTTGTATGTTAGCACTATAAAGAACAAGGAAGAAAAATCTGGGTTTCTAGTGAGATGGGGAAAGAAGAAACAGTGTAAGTACAGGTATGGTGAAGCTCAGGAATTGAGGGGGTGGATTCTAGGGGTAGTAGCAATGGATCCAGAGTGGAAAGTGTTTCCTAGAGGGAATGAGCTCTGGTGCTTAGCTCTGCCCAAAGAAGTAATTTCACACAAGTCAGTACAGTAGAAATAGTTGCTTCTGGCCCTGTGAGTAGATGTCTGGTTATTTTTGATGTAGAGATGAGAGAATGTTTGGAAGTGGCCATGAGTTTTTTAGGCCACAGCTGTCAGCATGAGCCTGTAGCTAGGACTTGGAGACGGGAGTATTTCCATCCCTCACAGCCATGTTTTCCATGGGGATTGTGAGGAGGCTTCTGCCAGTGCAATCCCAAAACTCTTCTAGCATTATGGGAGCCTCTCCAGAGTGTAACGTGGCCCATGATTTGAAACCCTTAGGGTGGCAGCTGCAGGTGCTTTTGGAGTTAGAGTGCCCTGTCTGGGCTGGGGAGCGGAGCTACCGCTCCCTCCAGGCTGCTGGGTGTGCGAGGCTGAGCTGGTGTCCGGCTGCTGTCCGGCAGGTGCACCCCGACCTGGCCATCTCCTCCAAGGCCATGAGCATCACGAACTCCTTTGTCAATGACGTGTTGGAGCACCTGGCCACCGAGGCCTCGCCTGGGCCGGCACAGTCAGCAGCTGCGGGTGCAGATGGCCGTGTGGCTGCTGCCTGCCCGGCTCACTGTGTCCGAGGGCACCGAGGCCCTCACTGAGTACAGCAACCAGCTGAGAGCAGCCTGGGCCTGCTGCTTCCTCCTGCAGGAGACGTGTTGGGTCTTACTCAACTGAGACAGCAAAGCCTTGTGTTGTCTGCCTGCGAATAAAAAGTGCATAGAGATCGTGTCTTTCATCTTTGCATCTCAAGTTGTGAGGCGGTTTAAGCCATGGGGATTGTTTGGTAGGGCTGGAAGGACAGCTGCTGTCTGAAAACAAACATATGCAACTAGAGCAGGGACCACAGGGTATGCCTGGGCAAAGCTGGGGTCATTATGGAAAGCATAGTGGGTTCTCTGCAGTTCTCCAAACTCCTTCCTATGGCTTTCAGGTTCCTGACTGCTGAAGACTTCTGCTGCCTTTGACTTTCCTGCTGTTCTTCAACTGCTTCCAAACTGTGGTGGGTCTTTCTGCTCAAATTATCAATTTATACTGGTCAGAATAGATGCTAAATCCCCCTGGGTCAATAGGATGAAATTAGCACTGGGTAAAGGGTTCTTCTAATGTTTATAAATGATTTTCAAAGCTGTTGTTCTTTGTTTGTTTTTTTTCTGGTAGGCTGTGGGGATGAGAGCTTTTCCTTATTAGCTGTTTTTGTGTATTATTTTTGTTAATGTTGTTGAGTTTGGGTTTTGTCAGGGGTTTTTTTTGTTAGTTTGTTTTTTTCCTTCTGGTGAAAACTTTCTTCTTTTCTGGACTAGGCAGATTGAAGCAAAATGATCTTCACTGACAGGAAAACAGTACTCTTTTCTTTTTAGACATGTGGCCATCATCTCTACTTAATTCCAGTGTCTTTTAAAGAGAACTTTATCTTGCAAGGCTCTAAAACTGGGCTAGGGCTGGGTGTCCTGTGCTCTGCCTCATATTAGTGAGTGGCCCTCACTGCCTTTCCTTGTGTCCCCAAGTGCTTCTTACAGGAGGGATCTAGGGCCCTGAAGGGAGCATGGGCGTACTTCTGTCTGTCCACATGGAGCCTGGGCAACCACAGGGCTGAGTGTTGTGTCTAGAGCTGTGACCCTGTGGTAGGTTCTTGGCTGCCCTGTAAGCACAGCACCTTCTTGGGGTGTGTGGGGCTGTCCTGGATTCCTGCACAGAGATGCTGCCTCAGGGTCTGTGGTGGAGTGAAGAAAACGTGTGCTCCATGTTCTGGGTGAGGATCATAGAACAGTTTTGGTTGAAAGGGACCTTAAAGCCCATCCAGGTCCACCTCCCTGCCATAGATAGGGACACCTACTATACCAGGTTGCTCCAAGCCCTGTCCAACCTGGCCTTGAATGCTTGGGCATCCATAACTTCTCTGGGCAACCTGTTGCAGTGCCTTTTGCCAGCTTCATGTCGGGTCTGGATTTTAATGTCTTGTCTTCACAGCCATTATCAGGATAGGGTTACCAGGAGGTGCCAGAGCTGTGTTAAGTTTCAAGGTGACAGTAAATGGGCCAGTCCTGGATTTCCCCAGCTTGTGAGGTGCTGCTGAGTCTCATGAGCTGTGACAGATGCTGTTCTCTGGTGTGGGCCAGAAAAGATGTATGTGATGCTTCTAGGGAGAGCACAGGAGGCAGCAGGACTGAGCATCTCACCTTCAGCTGCATCTCTGCTGCTGCAGAGTGGGGCTGGCTGGGGGACAGAGCGAAGGGGCTCTGCTGGGGCTCCGTTTCCTTTTGTCTGTAGGACAGCATTGAAGAGCAATCTCTCCCCTGTGTCTGGCCTGCAAGCCAGAACTGGACTTGAGCAGAGGTGTGTGGGCTGCACCTATTTTCCTCCCTCTAACCCTTGTGGTAGCTGTGCTGTGGGGAGAGGCTCTATGGCTGGTACTGGAGGCAGAGGAGCTGTGGGGATGCTCAGCTGCATGCATAGACTGGAGGCAGGCCTGGGAGAGTCCAGCAAAGACTGGGAGGCTGAGCAGGCTCCATTTGCAGTGAGCAGGTGAGCAGCTCATCTCCTTGCTGAATCTGTTCTTCTGCTGACTAGGCCACACGTCTGTGCTTGTGTTCTGATCTGCCCAAGCTGAGGAGAGGCAAGTTTTGCCTTGATCCATAATTGTGGAAAGGAATGAGGTTCTAAACATAACTGCAAGTGAGATTAAAACATCAATGAGGTTAGATGTTGGAAAACAAAGTGATAATTCAACTTTTTTTATTATCCATAAAAGAGAAAAGCAAGAAAATAGAAGAGAAATGTCAATAATAATTCTAAAAAGCACAGGAAGGGGTGACCACCACCATGGGTCCAGAGGTGGCTTAGAGAGTGCAATGGGGGACATCTGAGTTGGGTCTTTACCTGGTCAGCTCCCTCTGAGAGCTGGCAAGCAAGCCACAGAGGGAGCAGAGCCATGGCAGCCAGGCAAACCTGGTGGGGCATGAAAAGCCTCGTAGGAGCAGCCAGGACAGTTAAGGACAGCAAAGATTTTGACATCTTGCAACCCCTGTGGCAAGTTAGGTACATGCTTACAGAGGGTATTGAAAGTGGCAAAGTCACAGAGACATCCTATCAACAGCGGGCATGTGGAATCTTCGTCTTCGCTCCCTAAAATGTCATTGGCTGCTCCTTAGAGTCTGGTGAAGTTTGCCTGATGTATCAAAAGTTTATTGCTTGGTTGCCAGATGTGTCACCAGAAGCTCTTTTAATGACTAGTAAAGGGGGTGCCTAACTTTCTAAAATAAGCCAGTTTCTGTTCGTTGTTGAAGGCAGTTCAAATTCCAAATCCTTCTCTTTGAGGAGGCAATGGAGAAACATTCCTCACTTTTAACTCGTTCGCTCCAGCTTGTCCCCCTTTCCAGCTCTCCCAGCTGCTCTCTGAGGGATGGGCAGTGCTGAGGAGCAGCCGGAGCTGCAGTTCTGCTCCTGCCCTGGAGATGGGTCTCTCTGACTGCCTGATCTCGGCTCCATGTCTGCGGCACGAGCAGGAGCCCGGGGACCGTGCGGCATCCTCCTCCGGCAGGTACCTGGCTGGGTACGGTGCTGATCTATGGTGAGGTGAGGGGCTGTCTCCTGCAGATGTCTGATGGAGCATCGAACACTGCGTGAGCCCCAGAGGAGTGAGGATTTAAATGTGTAGGTGTTTGAGTCTCCAGTACTCCACTTTTGCATCCCGCTTCGTGTCACATCCCTCTCTTCCCTTCCGCCCCCAACAAAGACCTGAGGAATGGAGTTGGAGATTGGGCTCGCATTCCTCTCACCAGATCCCTGCATTTCCTCGGAGATGTGACCGGTAGTGCAGATGCACTGAGGGGCAGAAGGAGGAGGTTGCTCTTGGAACGAGGGAGTTCTGCACAACCTGCCCACGTTGTCCCTTGCACATTTCCCATGTGAGGGGCTCATCTCTGGCTGTGCAGGGATCCTGCTGCTCGTTTCCCCAAAGTAAATCCTGCGGGAGCTGCCCCGGGATGCCTGCACAGGATGTCCCGCAGGGCTGTCTTTTCCTGAGGGCTCACCCTGTGTTTTGCTGATGAGCTCCGGTGAGAACCATGCCTCAGCTCAGCTGCCTCCAGACTGGGCTTGTGGCTCCCGTGAGATGTGGGCAAAGTCGCTTTTAGGCTCTGCTGCCCAGTAGGGATTTACAGGGCACTGATCGCTGTGAGAACAACTCGGAAGTACTCAGGTTACACTAAAAGCAAAGCTTGGCGCCTGTGCAGGCTCTCTTCCAAAGTGCCTTGGGGCTGCCTTGCTCCACGAGTCTTTGTCCAGGTCTGCCTATGTCTTTGCAAGTCTCACAGAGAGTTTTTAGTGCTGCAACACTGCATCACTGTCATGTTGCGTGTCCCTGGCCCCATGTCTATGTTCTGACTAAGCTGTGCATGTCTGTGGGCTAGAAACAATTTTTTTTGTCCTTTCTTCAACCTCTCAAAAAGAGCACCATAGTGCTGAATGAGCATTCATGAAAATATCACCAGTGCCTCTGTTCTCTAAGAGAGTAATGGCTTAAGAGCATGTGCTCTTTCTCTCCCATGGAGGAGGACCAGGAGGCAGAGCATCCCTGAGGTCTGTTAGGAGTGGAGCAGGTTTGAGGGAGGGAGCATTTTGGGCAGTGGAGGCTGGCAGTAGTGTGCAGTCCTGTGTGTATTCCTCTTCCCATGTTGTGTCCCTTGGCAGCCGTGTTGCCAGGTGGTGCTCCTGTGTCTCATTAGATGCTGTTCCAAATAGCAGAGGCAGGAGCAGTCCAGCACGTGGAAGAAAATGAGCTGGTGATGGATAGCCCTAGTGATGCCAAAGCTGTTAAAATGTGAACCTCTGATGTACAGCCGGGCCTCCAGCAATGGACTCTCATCCTCTCCGTGCTCAGCTGCTTGTGTGTGGGGATGGTGCTGCTCTGTGTCACCTCCTTTCTCTGTTGAGTTGGGGGCTGGCTGCTGTCTCTGAGTGGTGGCCTTAGAATCCCTGTGTAGAGGGAAGGAGAGGGGTAATAGTCAAAGGTCAGGCAGGCACTCCCCCCTCAGCAGATGCTCTGCTGTCTAAAGCTCTGCCACCCCAATGCTGCCAATGCTGCAGTGGGACCGAGCGTCCACAGCACTCTTGGAGCTGTCTCTCCCTGTGTTCTCATCAGCAAGTGTTACTGCAAAGAGTTTGTTTCCTTGGGGTTTTTCCTCTCTTCTCATGCTCTGTGTGCTCTGGATTCCTGGATGTAGCCTACAATAATGCTGCTTTCTTCATCTCCCCTGTGCCTGGGTGCGTGGGAAGGATTCAGACTAAGTGAAAAAGTAAATCTTGTGTTGGAACTATAACTTCCAGGGCCACATAAAGGGGGTCAGGAGGCATCCTTGTTCTCATCCTTGTCCTCTCCCTGTGTAGCCCTGCATAACCTGATGCCAAACTGGGGAGAGACAGGAAGACCTGCTGTGTGGTGAGGTGCTCCCCAACGCGGAGCCCTGGGGGCTGACTTGCAGTGCCCCGGGTGCCTGGAAGCTGCTAGGGGCTGGAGGTCACTGGGGTGGGGACAAAGGTGTGTTCTCACTCACATAAGCCACGTGCGCTGGCCTGGGCTCAAGACAGGTATCAGTGGTGCCCTGTTTGGCCAACAAGGAAGAGGAAGAGGATGCTTCCATGTGCCCCATGCAGGGTGTGGGGCTGGAGAGGAGGATGACATGGGCAGAGTGGCCCCATGAGGAATGGCTGCTGCAGGCCACACGCCGTTTTCCCATTAGTGAGTGTTTAGTTCAGCGTTTTAAATAATTGTGTCCTCGGAATGATATTTAAAATCCATTTGGGAGGCAATGAGGCGGGAAAGTGCCTGTGCCATTGTGATGACGCTGCGCAGGCCGTGCCACACATGCATATTACAAACTCGTTACAGGCTCGTTTCCACGCATGCTGCTCCCTCCCCACATAACCTCGTTCTGAGGCTCTGAATGCATCTCCCCCGCCATGGCTGCAGTGCTTGGCCCCATGGAGACATTTATTTGACAAGATAGACATGGGTGAGAGATAAGGCACAGCCAGGTCATGGCACTTGGGTGTTGTCCATGGGAACAGAGGTGTGTGGGCCATGCCCGGTGATGGAACTGTTGTTCAGGGGTCCTGGCCTTCACCAGTGGTCACTTTCTGAGCAGCCCTTGGACTTGTGTCACTGCAGGTTCCTAACCCTGAAGCCCCAGGGCTTTCAGCTCTGGGCACTGTTGGAGGAGCTGTGTCAGCTATTCGAGGCTGGCTCTGAAGCTGAGGACAAGCTGTGCTCCCGAATGTCCATGGCAGGTGCACGAGCTGTGGGACTGGGTGTGAGGGAGCTGATGGAGCAGCAGTTCTGTGTGTGCTGGTTAGTGGCTGCCTGGGAGAGAGGCCTTGCTGCTCTGTTTCTCTCTGTTTCTCTCTGTGCTGTGTGGGCACCCTCTGCTGCCCCCTCAAGCCATGCACGATAGAAATGTGGGAGGACAAGGCAGTATTCAGTCCTTGCCCTCTTCTTCCTGATCATGCTCAGGCTCTCCTAGCCAGGGTCTCCCAGCTGTGGTTTTTCTCAGTGCTATATTGTGACCAAACATTAGTGGGGTGAGGATGAAAGCCCCAGGTGTACTTAAAGACAAGTTGTATTCTGACATTTGTCTCTTGCTCAGTGACCCAGCTGGCTGCTCTTCTGGATAGGAAATGAATGGCTCTGACACCCTTTTCTCTGCCTGCAGCTGAGGACCCTCAGTGCCCTCAATGTCTCTGTGGACTTTCCTACTTGGCACCTATGGGTACTGGGCTTGGAGATGCTGAAGGAGGCTGCTTGTGTTTTGTGGGTTTGGTGTTTTTTGTTGTTTTTTTTTTTTTCCTTTCTTTGTGGATTTTTTGTTTGTAGTTTTAGGTTGATTGGTTTTCTTGAAGTGGTTTGAGGGATTTTTTTTTTTTTTTTTTTTTTTTTTTTTTTTTTTTTTTTTTTTTTTTTTTTTTTTTTTTTTGTTAGCTATGGGAATGGGAGAAAATGTCTAGGGTAGCTGGTGCAGTCAAGAATGTGCAGACCCAGGCCTGTGAGATGCTGAGTGTGAACACACTGCCTTCCCTCAGCTAGCATGGAGGGGGTAATGGGGTGGGGGACACCTGCAGTCAGAACATTCCTCCCAGGGACCTTCCCTGGGTGGCCTTGGGTGCCTGAATAGTGCTGAGTGTGAGGGGTTAGTTTGGGGTTCTGCTCCCAAGACCATAGCTGGGTGAAAATGATGGCATTGGTTCCAGGAACAGCACAAGTTGTAAAGACAGGTTGGAGTGGAACTAAGAGTTCTTAGTTTGTCCTTTTCCTCATCTCTTAGGGAATCCAGACTTCCTGTACTCAAAGTTCCCCAAGTCAGGGTTGTTGCTCTGAGCCCCTCACCTGGCTGGAGGAGACTCTGAAGCTTGAATGTGGGTTCCATGTGGAGCTGGAGGTAGAGCCACTGCATCCTTCAGGAGAACAGTGTGCTCCCAGCCCAGCACCAGAGGGATGCTGCATGTGCTCACTGGCACAGAGCATCTGTGCTGTGGCAGTGGTAATGTTTGGCATGATCCCAGTCCTGGGACTGGTTTGTGGACCCTCTTCAGTTATGAGGTCCTTACATAACTCTTTGCTCTGGAACCAGCTGCCAAAAGGAGCACAAGCAAAGTCTGGCTCCCTGTTTGATCAGCACCTCCAGCCACACCACAAAGAACTCGATTACAGTTTGGGACCAATGTGACAGTGTTGTACAAGCTGTTTTCCTCAGGGCTCACCTCTCTGCCCTTCTGTATCCTGCCCAGCCCTGTGGGCAGCCAGCCTTGCTGCCCTGGGGAAGGAGCTGATTGCCAGAGCAGTGTGTGGTGCTTGTGAGGGTCTTTTGGTCCCTGTGGGGAAGAGCTCTATCCTTAGTCTTTTATGACTTCTGACACCAAGTCTGATCCAGGCCTTTCCCAAGCTCCCCCTCACCTCCCTACCTCCCTGCCATGGTTGCCCCCACCTTGCTCTGCCCCTTTCTCAGTGGGAGCGCTGTGTGGAGCAGGGCTCTCTGCAGAGCAAACAAGCACAAAGGGAGCATTTCCAGGCTGCCTGCCACCCCTCTCCTGTGCCTAGTCCATGCTGGCAATTGCACCTAGCAGCTGAAAATAAGCTCTGGGAAGAAGGGGAGGTGGTGATGAGGAGCTGCCAAGCCAGGCTATTTATACTGGGTGATTCAGGCCTCTGCCTGAGTCCAGCCAGATGCAGGGGAGCTGGAACCCAGGAGCAATCTGCAAAGGACAAACCCTTGAACAAGAGGGTCTTCGCTGTAATAGCTCATTTACTGTGTGGCTCAGATTTCTCGGGTTAGTTACCTGTGATGGACTGCACCTTCCCTCTCCGCTCTGCCCCTCAACGTTTGCTGCAGCCAGCTCCATGGAAGGTTTCCTGCAGTGTGAGGTCCCACCACAGTGAGCACAGCCTGAGCCCAGAGGGCTGGGGACACCAGCACAGCCGCCTGGAGCCACTGGAGTGCCAGGATCTGCTGGTGCAGAATGCACTCTTCACTGGAGACCTGGACATGGTGCAGAAGTACTTCACCAAGAGCGCAGCTGTCAACCTCATCATTGAGACCAGGGGCGATGTGCTGCGCTGGACTAGCAGTAAACGTGGTGGGTATGAGGGACTGGGATATGGGGGAATAGAAAACGCCCAGGATCGGGTCCAAGGATAGGGCTTAGGCACCCAAGAAAAATATTGAAAGGAATCCCCAGTGGTGGAAGAAGGACTTGAGAAGAACAGCTTTAGTGTGAGGAAGGAAGTTTCCAAGGCTGTACAACAAATAGTAGCAGGCTTGTTGAAGGTGGTATGAGGCAGATCTACCAGAAAATAATGAGAATAGGGCCCCTGAAATAGTTGCTGGAGAAGCACATCCTCAGGACTGTCCTGTTAGAGATTGCTGGGATGGATGTGAAATACGTGTGTGGTGGGGAGTGTGCATGGGTGAAGAGGCACCAGAATGCTGCTCTGTTCCATGAGATAGGTTTGACAAGGGGAGCAGAAATCCAGTCCATGAGAAAGATGGTGGAAGCAAACTTTCCTCAATGATAGGAGGTAGGATCTGATCATTCTTAGTGTTTCCCTCTGTCCATCTCACTTGTCCATCTCTACCTTGTCAGGCACATCTTGGGCCTACCACACATGCTTCCACACTCTCTGGTCCCTTTTACTTACCTTCTCATCAACATTGTCTATAGGCTTCTCAGCAAGTGATGCAGTTGGTGTGCCCAAGGGAGAGGTGTGCTGGGCAGCCTGATGTGCCCTGGTTCTTGCTACTGTCAGCTAGTGATGTGGTGCAGGCAGACTCCCAGAATTTAAGAGCATCAAGTGGGGAAGGCCTTTTGACTGTATTGGTCCTGGTTTAGGGCAAATTTGGGAGAGAGCCTCCTCAACAGAAGGCTGGTGGCAAAAGCCACCCATAGGAGAATGGAAGAGCTGTTGACAAAGCTGCTTTCCCAGAGGAGAAGGCCAAATGTCCTGGTGCTTAGACAAATGATAGTTTTGTGGGGATCCACTCCACCAAGAGACGAATAGGGTGTGTGGGCTTGCCAGTGCACATGCTGCTGCTTGTGAGTGGTGAAGATTATTTACTGAGCTGCAAGATTTGTAAGACCTAGGTTTTGAATTGTTACAGTCTACTTAGGAATGAAATCCTTGAAGGTATTACCCTTTGTGTGAGACCATTTGTCAGTAAAACACAGACTGGGTGTGGTAACTCCTGTGTTATCCTAGGTTGGCAGACACTGGAGCAGCCAGTCTCTCTGCTGGGGAAGGTTTGTGCCCCAGAGAAAATGGATCAATATAAAACAACTTCATCCAGAAATTTCTCTAATCAACAAAGTTTCAAGACACGAAAAACCCAACCAAACAAGATCATTCATCAAGCACAGAGCAAAAATATGCTGCCAAATCTATCAGATAAGAATACAGAACAAAAACCAAAACAAACCTTCATGCTACCTGAGGTTTGTCTCTGTATCTTGCTGACGGTGCAGGGAGAAGCTCCTAGAATTCAGTGACCTAAATAGTAGGTTCTAGTGACCTTGTCTTTCCCAGATCACCTCACTGGTATTTTAAGGTGCCCAGAGGAAGTGTAAACTGTCTGGTGTCACTGATACTTACACTGCTTTCTGCCTCCCTGGTGCGTGACTGGGAGCCTCAAGCTCTCATGGTATACCTGCTTATATCCTTGGGTAAATAGAGGGTCTCATCGGGTGAGAACTTCTGCCAGGGCCTTCCCTTTCTTTACCTTTTTGTAGGCCACATTTCAGTTAGACAAGGTGAAGTTTGCACACACAGAGCAAACTGGATATTGTCAGCATAGAACTTGCTCATTTATTTTCATTACTGAGAAGGGTAAAGTTCCCTCTGCACTGGTCCTCTGGTAATTGTTGCTTGGTGGTCTACTGGGGTCACTTAACTGCATGATCTGAGTAGTTCCATGACACAAAATTAAACTGAACTCTACTAGTCTTCCATGCAGTTTGCCACGCTCTCTGGATCACATGGTGTGAACAATGTGTGCAGGGTGCTGCTGCCACGTGAGCAGGCCATGCTCTCCTGCGACTGAGGAGGGATGTGTGCAGCCAACTGGGGTCAGAGAACACCAGCTCAGGTGACAGGACTGCAGCGAGCAGCCGAGCCAGGGGAGTGTCTGAGGACTGAAAGGGAACACTAAAGCTATGCGGGGGCTCTGTGCAAGCCTGCATATCAAGAAAAAGGATGAAGTGGGGAGGGTCTAAAGGATAATTACCCTAAATTTTTCCCATCCTTGTACCTATTGCTACCACTTCTTTGGCTTTGATTAAAAATAGCTGTTCTGTAGCTTGTTTAAAAATCTTCCCAATGCCAGTGGCTCAGATGCAACTGGTAAATGGGTGTGCAGTGCTGGAGACGTGTGTGGAGCCAAGAGGTGAACAAAGGTATGGAGATGTGTGTGGAGCTGCTGTGGGCATGCTGTTGTGGTCTGGCAACAGTGGGCAACATGCTGAGTAGGCATGATACCATTTCCCTCTCTGTTGTCTTAGTGATGTCTCATCCCCATTTCTACCCTTCAAGCTCCCCTGCCCTTCCTGAGGGTTTTGCCTTCACAGCAGGGCACTGCTGAGGTACTGCTGCTTGAGTGGAGAGCCTTTATCAGCCTCTTGGCCCCAGCATTTGGTCACAAGGTTTCCCAGAATAGAACAGCTGAGACTTGAGCTGTGCCCAGCCTGAGCCAAAGAGAGGGGTGTGATGCATTCCCTCTCCCTGCAAAACACCCTGGGCTGGCAGGCAGACTCTGGGCCCAAACACGGGCTGCTGGTGGGGCTGTGCCTCAGAGCCTGGCTGGGGTGCACCAGCAGGTCCTGTCCTGGTCTCTGAGCAGAGTCTGTTGGGCATCATGGGCAGCGTCACAGGCAGAAGAGATGAGAGCCAGGAGCCCATCCGCACCCAGCAGGCACGTGGCCCTGCCCAGGTGTTCTGGCAGGCCCTGCTGGCCGGGGATCAGGGCACTGTCGCCAAGATCCTCAGAGATCCTCAGAACAACCTGAGCCCCGATGCTGTGTTTGACACCAGTGACCTGGAAGAGTGGAAGAACTACCGCTTCAATCCCCGCGGGCTGAGTATGGGGCAGCAGTGGGGCTCAGCCTGGCTGTGTGCTGCGGGGCATGGCTGCTGCTGGGGCTGTGTGCTACGGGTGCTACTGGGCTTGCAGAGTAGTGGGAATGGGAGCAAGAGCATGGGGACATGCTCAGATTCTCCTGTGTTCCTTGTGGAAGGGGGTTCCCGCTTCTGAGAGCGTGGGGTGCATACAGGAAACCTGGTCCCTCCCACAGGGATTGTCTTAAGTGCTTGGGAGCTGCTCTGTGCAGCCTGCTCTGTGCTGTGGGCTCCCACCACAGGTTGTGCCAGACTGTCACAACAGGAGCTAGACCTATGAGATGGTGCAGTTTGAACCTGGCCCTGGAAAACACAGGTGCCATACTGCCTCTGCAAGCAGGAGCTGAGAGGCTGTAGTATGGAATGCACCATGCAGTCTGGGATGTCCTCCAGCTCAGTCTGGGTAGGCAGCAAGAAGCACAGTTTAAGGAGATTTTTCCTGTAGCATCTGCAGGCTGTTAGCCAGCAGAAAGCACCGGCTCAGCGGTGGTTTTGTGCTGGGTCAGCATCTTTGAGAGCTGGCACATTCCAGCCCCTTGCTCTCTCCTAGGCTCTAGATGTCCGTCTCTGCTGTAGCTTGTTGTCTGCACCCTGCTCAGGGCTTGTCTGAGTCCCCTGTGTGTGTGGCAGTTGGCTCTGACACCTCTCTACTGCCTGGTTCCTTGTGTTTGTGGTGCTTCACACATGGTGTTTGGCCCAGCCATCTCACTGCCATCAGCCCTGCTTACACCCCAGACCCTACATCTGCTGCGCCCCTGACAACAGAAGCCCCATGTACCCACCTGAGCCGCAGGTGAGGGGCACTCTGACCAGAACAGCCTGTCCTGTGGGCTGCTGCTCCCTGGAGCTCCTGTCTGCAAGGCTGAGAGCCTGCCAGGGATCTTGCAGGGAGGGGACTTGATGTCCCTTGAGGGGAAACACACGTGTCTCAGGGGGCTGTACCCCAAGTCCTTCAAGGAAAGGGGCAGGTCCTTGTGCGCCGTGGCTGGACGTGGCTCCCTGACCCCTTTTCCCTGCAGGACTGTGGTCGCTGAGCTACGAGCAGGAGCTGACCACGCCGCTGCACATCACGGCCGGCCGGGGCTACACGGACTGCCTGCGGCTGCTGCTGCTCCGCGGCGCCGCCGTCGACTTTGCTCCGGGGGGCAAGACAGCCCTGCACGAGGCTTGTGCAGCCGCCAGCGCCGCCTGCGTGCGCCTGCTGCTCGGCTCCGGGGCTGATCCCGAGGCTGTCTCCGAGGATGGCTACCGGCCCCTGCACCTCTGCAAGAGCTCCGGCTCCATCGAGTGAGTCCTGCCTCCCTCCCCCTCGAGCCTAATCCCTGTAGGAGGGGTCCCACCTCTCCCCTGAGGGTGGGCTGGTGGGTGCAGAATGGGGGTGGCCTTGGTGCCTGTTCCTGCGCTGGGATTGCCTCTGAGGCTCAAACTCAGAGGTGACTGCAAGCTCCTGTCCTTAGCAGAAGCAGCTGAGGAGCCAGTGGCCACACTGTAATGTTCAGGGCATTCCTGCACAGATCCACTGTGGTCACACTGTAATGTTCAGGGTGTTCCTGTGCAGTTCCACTATACATACCAGCAGGCATCAGGTGTGACAGCACTTTAAGAGGAGGTCTATGCAGAGTTACCTGAAATTAGGGTGACAGTATCTCTGCTCACCATCCATCCTGGCTTAAAAACACTGCTCCAGGGCATGAGCAGCAGGGATTTTTGGACTCAGGGGAAAAGCTGGGGTGGTGCAGATGCAGGAGCTGGGAGGTAGGATGGGAGGTGGAGATGAGGCATGGTCACCAAGTTGCCTTGGCCCACACAGGTGTGTCCGGCTGCTGCTGCAGCATGGCGCCAGTGTGAACAGCCAGACGGAGGAGGAGAAGGACACGGCACTGCATGTGGCATCGCGGCACGGCCTGGCAGAGCACGTCCAGCTGCTTCTGCACCACGGCGCTGAATTGGAGGTGAAGAACAAGGAGGGGCAAACACCACTGAATGCTGCCTGTGCTCAGCACCATCAGCCCCAGGACATGGACCGCTACTACCGGGTCTGCCAGCTGCTGGTGGAGAGCGGTGCCAGCATCAACGCTGAGGATCGGGACCGGCAGCACCCGCTTCACCTGGCCTGCAAGAATGCCAATGCTCAAATCGCAGAGTTACTGCTGGCCCAGGGTGCCAATGTCAATGTCATGAACTACGGCGGCAACACGGCCCTGCACAACATCCTGCAAGTGGCTGCCTACAAGCTGGAACATCACCCAGAGCTCGTGGTACGGGCGCTGCTCAACCACGGTGCCGTCCGCATCTGGCCAGGTTCCCTCCTCAAGGTGAGTGTGCTGGGAGGGGAGGGCTGGGAACACCACCAGGGCCCCAGTGGACTCTCCTGTCACAGCAGGGCTTGTTCCAAGGCAGCCTGTTTGCTGTTCTGCCCTGCTCTGCCCAGGGCCTTGGAAGGGAGAACTGGCATTATTGGTATGGGAATACCTGATGTTTTCTCCTGGGGTGTGTTTTGCTGTAGTACTCTCCTGCTTCTGTCTGCTAAACTCTGTGGACAGCACTCACCCAGTTTCCATTATTACTTGCTCTGGAAATTGTTGGTCCTTTTCCTCTGGAGGTGTTTATTCTCAGGGGCACACCCTCCAGCTCCCACTGTCTCTGCAAGACACCCGCAGACAAAGGGTTAATTTCCTGTCTTAATTCCTGAGCACTGCAATAATTACCCAGCCCGGAGATCAGCAGATTGCTCTCCCCTTTGGGAAAATACAGGAAAATCAACAATTAACACTAATTAATCTCCTATTAACGCCAGATAATGAGGATCACTGGTACAGCCAGAATAGACTCTGACAGCTACTGCTGGCCTGGGCCATGGGGAGTGGCAGCCCGGAGCCAGGGAAATCTGCCTCTGTGCGGCTTTGCCTGGGTGGGCTGCGCTCCAAAGGCTGCACTGTGGCTAGGTACACGGCACTGGTTTGTCACCTGCACCCACGCCAGGGTGGGACACACCAGAGATGTTGTAGAAATATGTGTGAAGTCTTCTGTGATTCTGTGCCACCCTTGACATGGGCACAGCACTGCTTTAGACACAGGTACAGATGTCTCTGCAGCTGTGCACTAACGAGGCACAATCCTGCATCCCTGAGACCCTGGTGTGGCCCTCCAAAGAGGTGTAGTGTGCTGTGCTCTGTCTGATCACAAAATTAATGCCAGTCCCTGCCCTGGAATGGCTCAGCTCCAACTACTGAAATGTGAGGTGAAGAGTCTGGTGTAAAGCAGAGTGTTGGTGTTTGTGAACTCCTTGCAGCAGTAAAGCTGGTGGAGATCATCACCCCAGCCATCTAGGATGGCTCCTGTGTCTGAGGAGAAGCTGTGGGGACCTGGTTGTGCTGAAGCCAGCCATGCTGTGCATGTTGAGTGATGGCTCAGCCCTCCTCTTTTAAGGAGGGATGCTCTGGTGCTCCTTACCTGCCGTGGTTTTTCTCTCCTGGGTCACAATAAGGGAAGGATAGGATTTCACCAGATTTACTACCTCTGGATTGAGCAATACTTTAGGAGGTGACAGTGGGGCTTGCAGGAGCTTGCCAAATGATGGTGACCACCTATTGTAAAATGCAGGCAAACCTGGTGGAAAGAAATTATGATGTCTAACTCAAGAAGGCTGAATTATTTCTTTATTTATAGTTATGCTATAATACATTAATATACTATATAAAGGAAGATACTAAAACTACATACCTACTTTCTCTAACTACCATATCTAACTCCTCACTACTCGTGACCCTCTCTGAGAGCCCAGCCCCATTTGGGTTGGATTGGCCACCAGGCTCAAACAATCCTCACCAGAATCCAATCAAGCAATCACCCCAGGTAAACAATTCTCCAAACACATTCCACATGGGAAAAACAAGGAGCAGAAGTAGAAATTGTTTTCTCTTTCTTTTCTCTGTGCTGCTCTATGAAAAAATCCTGAGAGAAGGAAGACTGTCCCTGTGACAGTCACCTGTTCTTGATGCCTTAAGTTCTAGCTTTCATATTTTCCATATTCTGTATTGTATTAGTATATAACTCTGAACTTAATATTAAGTGTTAGGAAGCTCACTTCACAGCTTAGTCAGACAAAACAATCCTTTTCCAGCCCCAGAACCAAGGGTACCTTTACAGCTTCAGGCCCCAAAAGTGTAAACAACATGAATTGAGGAGAGCAGCCTGGGAGGATGGGGCTTCATAACCTGAAGCTGTAATTGGACAATTAACTCCAATACGTGAATGAACCAAAACCTATAAAAACATGACAACTTGTGACTTGGAGTCCATCTTGGGTGTAGCCTCATCCAGGCTCTTGTACTGCCCAAGGAGTATCCTCTGAAGGCTTTTTACTCAATCCCTGCTTTATTCATTTAACACTGGCTAGCCTCTGCTCCGGGGAGCCTCTGGCATCTCTCTCTCTCCGCCAGGTGCTGCGGTGCTGCCACAGCTGCCCGCGTGTCATCGAGGCCCTGGTGAACAGCTACAGCCATGTGCGCGTCTCCGAGGACTGGGAGGAAGCAGTTCCAGCAGAGGTTGTACAGGTGAGGGGGCAAATGCTGACTGCTGCCTGAAGAACACATCTCTAGCTTCTGGTGGGCTGCCAGGGGCATCTAGGCCAGAGGGGGTTGGGCAGAGCTGGGGCTGGCCGTGGGGGTTGCAGGCACAGGGATGGTGCGTGCTGTTGGGGCAGGGAGAATGCTCCATAGTGAGGCAAGTGGATGTCTGGTTCTACCTCTGTCCCAGGGTGACACCTTCAGCTTTGCATGCCTCTGGTCCTTTCTTCTCTCTGTAGAAATACCCGTGTTTCTACCAGTCACTTTTCTCCCTGGGGCACAGACCTCGCTCCTTGCAGCACCTGGCTCGCTGCACACTCAGGACCCTCCTGGAGGGCCGGCTGCTTCTGGTCCTGTCCCAGCTACATCTGCCGAGTGCCCTGCACCAGTTCCTGCTGCTCGGCTTCGAGGATGTTCTCTACTAGGGGTGGCAGTTCCAGTCCTGCTGTGCCTTTCTGTGCAGATATTCCACCCCTGCCACTGCGATCTGTGCTTTTGCAGCCACCCCCTTCCCCTCACCCCCTCCTGCCCTGCCCCATCAACCCCTGTGCCAAGCCTGCTGCTGTGTCCCAGTCCCAGCCAGCCTTGTGCTCTGCATTGTGCACCTGTTTTGGAGTGTTCTGTTTGTCCGTACTAATACAGACAAAACCCAGACTAACAAAAGGAGGTATGGGAATTAGAGAAATCTGTGGTGCAAGGGTCAAAGACACTGCATGGATCCCAGGCTTAGTAGTAGGATACCAGTTTCCCTACCCCAAATCCAAATGCTCTAGCCTGTACTAGGCAACTCTGGTGCCCTGGATGATTGCTGTGGTCCTGTCTTTAGTCAAGTTGCTTGGTCTGTACCCAAAGGTGCTTGGAATAAATCCTGTTCTTTATACCTACCTGAGCACGACTTCTACATTTCTTTGAGGAGTGTCCTGACAGAGGTCACCTGCCATGCCATGGGTGGTGGCATATGCACTCAGACCTGTGCACCCCCCTGCTTCTCTGAGGGAAATTGTGGTGGGTGTTCCAATCAAAGCCCTTTCGTGAAGGTACAATGTTGGGGTTACCCGGCTCAGGAGCTTGGGGCAGGAAGGCTGTGCTTGAGCAGTGCTGGTGAGAAGGAATGTGTCCCGAGGCTGCTGCTGGGCAGAGAGCAGCCAGCACCCGGAGCGCTGCAGGCTCACACTGCACTGGGCTGCACCACACCCTTGACAAGGTGAAGGGAAATGTTTTATCCTGTGACATGGAGATGCAGTTATGAAGAAAAGGAAGCACTATCCATCCTTTAAAGATCTGCTGTAAGCAAAGTCCATTACTGCCTGTGGCTCAAGCTGTGGCTGGCACAGGTACCCATAGCATTGGTCTCTCCTCATGCTGCACTCGCTCTGCCTGGCCTCTCCTCATGGTCACAGCAGCAGCAGGACTCTGGAAGATGCAGCTCTGAAGGAAAGGCTGCGTGACAGACCCAGGGGTGCTCTCTGTTCCCACCTCTCCGGGCACATGGGTTGTAGCTGCGTGCCTTCAGCCCTGCTGCTCTGAGGACGTGAGCCCAAAACCACACTGAGAGGTTGATCGTGCTGCTCCTGGTGTGCCTGCCCTGCTGCTGTGCCACAGCAGGAATGCTACCCCAGGGTATGAGAGGGATGTGTTCGTGTGCCACAGGTGCACACAAGGTGCCTGGAAAGCACTTGTGCCTGCCTTTATGTAGGTACCATTGCAGTATAGAGTTGGTATTTCTCAGGAAGGTTTGGCTATGTGCTGTATGACATACGGAGCAGAGAGGTCAGGTGCTGGCTTGGGGTGATCACAATTATCTGCAAAACTGGGATGAAGTGTACAGGGGAGCCAAAGTTTTTAAAATACACGGCTGATGGCCTGCCCTCTCACCATGGACCAGCAGTGAGTTTCCTTTGCACCAGTGTAGGAATGGAGTCTGAAGTTAGTTACCTCCTTCCTGTTGGCTGAACCAGCTTGTCTGCTCAGGTCATCTGTTTACATCATCAGGGCCAGTTATCTTGTTCCCAAAGCCTAATCACCACTTTAGAGTTCATTTTTAGCCAGATGATGTCTATGAGCAAAGGAGGAACAGAAACAGGAAGGTCTGTCCTTTTTGGTGGCAGCACAATCTGGGATTGCTGTAGCCTGACCTGGTGTCCTGGTCTGAAGGCAGCCTGCAGAGCAGCACACCTGGACAGGTATCCCATCCTTCCCTGTAACATCATCCCTATGCCTGCATTAACTTGTGCTCAGTAATGCATGCTCAGCCATAATAATATCTTCTTAAAACAGGGAAGAGTTGAATTTAATAGTTTGCTTTATTTTGTAGTTGTTACTTGCAACTGTTAGGCTTATAGCTGTTTCTTGGTTTTTTGGGTTTTCTGGTTGCTTTTGTCAGTTCTAAGGCTGCTCTGCACTGGCTGATGAGGGCAGCTGTAGCTCTCCCAGTGGGGAGAGATGAAACAAAGGGTCTGGTTTCTGCAAAGGCAGTAGCAGATGGAGCTCTGGCACATCTCAGTCCTTCCTGGACGAAGGTGGCCCAGATGGGCACCTGCTGCAACAAAGGACCCATGGGGGGGCTGCAGGTACATTCCAGGGTTCCTCTCAGAGCCACCAGATTTGTACACAGAGCATCCTGGTGTGCCTGGGAGGGCTGAGGTTAGGTGGATGACTGAGAGGAGCAGGCCATCCCTGGCCACATATCTTCAGAAACTGAATTTTGTCTGTGCTCCTACCAAAATTAAAAGGGCACGAGTTCATTATGCATAAGGATACCACTGGATAACAGCCTTCAAGGAATATGAGGCTGGTAGGAAAAAGGGAGAACCTTTTACAGCATGACCAAGGCAACTGGCGGTGATAAAACTAAACCAAATCAAACCAATCCACCAGAAAAGCTTCTGGGAACTCCAGCCCTTTGGCAAATGAAAACAATCAGAAAGGTTCAAGCTAAGATGCAGGCTGAGTACAAATGCTCTGACTTCAACTCATTTATGCTAATTGATTAGCAATTGATTTTCAAAAACATTTACAATAACAGATTTAAAAAGATTTAATGTTCCAGAGCACATTCTGGCAACTTAACAACCTTTGCTATTTTCTCAGGTTTCTAAAGGGGAAATTGGATGTACTTGCTGGGACAATTTTGCCAGGGAACTTTAACCATCCTGAGTGGGAGGGTTGTGATTTCCACTGAGAACACTGAACCTAGGGGGTTGTTAGCACAGGGGCACGTGGTTCTAGTGTGTTTTTGTCAGCTGCTGCAGGCACAGGCAGCTGCCAGCTACTTCTGTATCCTGGCTTTGCTGGGCATATCTCTTGGGCACAGACGAGCTCCTGCTTCAGCATCCACCTGGGTTTGTCAGCAGAACAGTCATGACAAGATGCAGCTTTAGGAGTGGCTGGAGAGATGCGAGTCCACTGTTGCATTTTCAGTGCAGCCATTCAAGTGAGGTGCTCTGGGAAAGAGTCATCCCAGTTCTAGACAGAAGTTTCCATCCCAGCTGCAGCCACTGGATCCTGCTGACCCTCCCTGTGCAGCCAAAGCCCTTCCCATCCCTGGTATCCCTTCTGACAGACAGCCAGCACACTCTGCAGGCTTCCCAGCTTCAAGCACCTGCTTGACTCTCACTCAGTTTTTCCTGTTCCTCAGTAAAGAGCATGGGGAGCCATAATGGGGGTTAACAGTAAGGTACTTACAGGCAAAGCAAGCAGAGAAAAGCTCTTTCCTAGCATGTCTGTACCCACCCTGTGTTGTAACCTGCTTCTTAGGCAGTTTTGAGTCAAAAAGACATCTTTGTATTTTTTGGCTGTGGAGAGATTTTTTTTATTTTCTGCCATAAATTTCACCAGTCACTTCTTGGGCCTGTGTATATTTGAGCATTCTGATGCCCTTGTGGGAAGGAGAGAAGAATTACTCAGTGCACTGATCACCTCACTCTCTTTATCTTTCTGCTGTCACTGTTATATTTAACTTGATGCCATGTAAGAACATATGGGCAAAATTTTTCTGTTTCTCTTCATATAATTTAAAACTACAGAGATCTGTACTATTTCTCTCCTTATTGGGGCTGGAATTGTGTTCAGCTGTGCTGTTCCTTTGTGAAAGCTGTCACCCAGCCCTGACTCCACACACAGGTTTCCCTGGGCCTTTACTTGTTGTGGTGCATCCCTTGAGATGGAGGGAGGACAGCTGTGCACAGTGCTGCGGTTGTGTGGGGGCTGCTCTGCTGCGCACTTGAAATCCACACCAATGCTCAGGAGCTCTGGATCCGTATTTGATGTGATTTGCCCTTTGGCACAGCCCAGGAGAGGTCTGGGCAGAAATGCCTCCAGTCAGTGTGCTCTGTGCTCCACAGCAGATGTTGCAGCCTCTAATGTTGTTCACACTTGTTACACCCGTGACGCCATCCCTGAATTAAGGTGAAGCCTCATCCTTCTCACTTACACATTGCACCTCACGCTTCAGTGTAACCAGCCAGGCTGTTCCTCAGCCTGGTGTTTCCAGCAACCCCGAGCAGGTTTTCTTGGGCAAGTGCACCTGTTAATTTACCATCCCAACAATTCATTTTTATCCATTCCAGTCATTTTATCAGCAGCGTTTTTTTTATTTCTCCCTCATTGCAAATAGCATATAGCATTGATATGTGAAGAGAATAGAGACACACCTGTCAAAAGGCTATGTAAGTCTCCTCAGCCACCAAGTTCTTTCAGATCAGTTAAACTGAGGACACTAACTGCAGCATACAGCTAATTTTTCTTATTAGAATGCCATGCAGAACTTAGTCAAATGACTTACAGATTTCTAAGCATGCCCCATCTCTCATTAGCTCTATCAAACTTGTAGGCTTATAAAAAAGTTACATAAAATAATTTGAAAGTACCTCTTTCAAATTACATTGAATTGGCTTCTAGTTTTTACTGACTTACCCAGAACATCCTTTGACTGCTTGTTTGTGGTTGCTTGGGAGGTATGTTGAACAAACTGCTGTATAGTTTCTTGGATATCCATGTGAACACATTTAAATACTGACAAGACATTGGTATTTTTACCCCTAGTAATCTTAAGTTCCCCAGTGTGCCATGATTTGCTATAAAGAAAAAAATAAATGGTTCTGTGAACTCATTAGCCAACTAAATACTCTTGGATGTAAGCTCTTCTCCTGCACATTATAAAAATTGTTACTTACACAGTTTAGCATCTTCTTTAATTACTGATGGAATAGAAAGTATTTCATTATCACTGTAAAATATGAATACTGCACATAGTTGTTTCAAATGCAGAGCAGAAATATTTCCTGAGTTACTGGATTTCATTATGCAGAATGTTGCTGCACACAGACACCTGGGGCAGGTGCCCAGTGCCTGCAGGTCTCTGGGTTCCCTGCTGCAGGGACACTTGGCTCTAGGGTCGATATTTCAGAAAGTTTGAGAGAAAGCAGGGGTTTAGAGTAGCACCACGAGTGGGTGGTGGGCTGCAGCAGCTCCTGGCAGTGGGAGCTGTGGAGGTGAGGGGCTGGACACACCAAGGCTGCTCCTCGGAGCCTGTGTGCAGGTGTGGGTGCCTGTTCTCCTCTCAAGGCTCACAGGGAAGGAGGGGCTGACACCCCCTCCCAAAGAGTGCCAGGGACCCCTTCATTGTCCCCTGACAGCCACTGCTGGACCCTACTGTGCCTTCTTGCTCAACCTCCCTGCAGGGCTCATTCAGCACTGTCAGGCCTTTCCTTGGAGGTAAAACCAGATACAGGGGCTGGAGACTGAAGCTGGGCAAACACATATTAGAAATGAGACATTTTTAATAGCAAGGGCAATTAATCTTCTAGTTAGTTGCATCTTAGAATGGGTTATCATGGTGGATGTAGATTTCTTATCTCGGGGATTGTTTTTAAATCACATGGGTATCTG